ACAGAACCACCACATTCAACCCATCCCCAGATAGCTTGGATCTGAGCGCTCACTATATCCGAACAGCGCTCAGATCCCCCGAACACAGTCAAATCGCCATGGGGTTAAACCATAGCAAGGGCTGATGAGAGACAGAGGAGGGGCAAAACAAGTTCCAACTGGTCTGGCAGTGTCCCTGGGACAACACCCTGCTGGAGAACAATAGACAGGAAACGGGGGAGGGGCACACCTTTCCATGTATTCAAAGGGGCAGAAAAAGTGTTTCAAAATCCAATAAGCTCAAATAAGTTTCTTAAAGGGCAATACAAATAATTCATGCCTACTGTACAATATCTTTCTTACTTCGTGTTGGCCTGAGATAATTAATGTCAACAACATATTTTACCAAATCAGGACACGTTGTATAAAATGTGTGTGTGCTTCATAGAAGGGTTTATTACATAACTCTGGATTGCAGTGATTCAAAATGTAAAATTGAAACTAAAATAGTCAAGCTGCTACTATAACTGTATTGAAGAATTTTACTAAAACAGGTTTTTAGTTCCGTTTCATGTTTAGTAAATAGACCCCATTGTTGCGTGTATGGGGAGGCTGTTCCTGAACATTGATTAATAGAATGTAGATGTTATTCCAATCTGTGTCATCATCAAAAGTTACTCATCTTTATCTGGTAATAATTAATTAATTAATAAACTAAAAAAGTGTGAAATTAAGAAACGTTTTTATATTTCAAGTTCTGCATGATATAATATTGGTGAATGCAATTATACTGTTAGCTTTTACTGCAAAAAAAAAAGCACATATTTGTATTTGTATTTGTATTTGGTGATGTCTCACGAGTACAACAGTACCCCCTATGTACAGGTTTTTTTACTGTTTTGGAAAGTTTCAGGGTTAAATATAGAACTTTCCCCACTTACAGTTTTTACACATTAAAATTTACCAGATTGGTTTGCTAGGCCAATGTTGCATTTGAGACCGTATGGCAGCCCAGGAATGAAAATTAGCCATATCATGGCATACTATTTGTAAAAGTAGACAATCCAGGGTATTTAAAATGGGGTATGTCCAGTCTTTTTAAGTAGTCACTTAGACACAAACGTTGGCCACAATTAGCGTTCATTTAAATTGTTTTGCATTTTTCACTAATAAACTGCCCTTTCACTGATGATATGATCAGCACTATATGTTTTATGGCTCTTAAACACTCATATTTGTATTCAGTAATGTCTCACAAGTACAATAGTACCCCCCATGTCCATGTTTCATGCGATTTTAGAAAGTTGCAGGGTCAAATATATAACTTTCCTATGTCTGTTTTTGCACGTTGAAATTTGCCAGATAAGATAGGGTCCACGTTTGACGTTTACGATTACCACGAATCCTTCATACAGACATGTCTTTTTCATTATTAGATTATAGGTATTAACTTGTTTACTACTCGATCGCCTAATGGTTGTACCTCCCTACTCTCAGTATACGGTAGGTTACCATTATCTATTATTAAATGTAAAATCGTTCCACATCTTCCTACAACTTTCTATTCACCCCATATAGGTCTGCTGTACTACACCATCATGTGTTGAACAGTATTACAGTCTCAGTTTCTCTCAGGTACGTCAACCTACTTGTACTTATATGCTTTTCTTTAAGTTAGTTAATACTGTTAGTTTGCTAGGAGTCCAATAGTTAATTATTTCTCAAGCCTCTATACCTTAGGATAGTGGTCCCCCGAGACCAACACCCATCCTCATACTTGGAGGTACTACACCAATCGGCCCAAATCATAGCTAGTCACCATACATAGTGGCACAGAGAGGGTCCTCGACTGTCACTCGCATTCTATCTTATGCTCAATCAGCCTGCTGTAACATTCCGTGGCTATAAAAAATCCCCTCGCGCCAACACATAGTTGGAGCCTCTTAAGCCGCTTGGCATCCAGCGGGGCCTCACCTGTCAACAACCTAGCATAATTGTTTTGCCACTTGGCATTAGCTAGTAAGCCAGTACATCATAAGGGTTTATGCTAACTAGAACTTTTTATCATTTAGCATGTCTCAACTACAAGAAGGTGGGGAAGACCTGTCTCTGCCCTGCAGTCCAGCTAGGTCGGATACACCCTCAAGCAGAGGAGACATGGCTAGTCCTACCTCTATCAGATCCTGGACTATCCCTCGCATCACAGCAGAATTACGTAAACATCATATACCGTACCCAGCAAAAGCTAGGTGTCACGGGTGGCGGTCCGAAGACCGGGACCCCTGTGTGACTGATAAGAAGGATGAGAGTCACAGTGTGGAAATGGACTATCAGGGTCTGCTGCAGGGTAACCACATGCCCCCTGGTGTTGAGCACCAGCGTTTGTGCAGCCATATACCAGAACCCTGATGCGACTTTAGCGGAAGCAAGGAGGTAGATGAGATGCCGAGATGTATCCAGTACTAGAAACAAGGTAAGACTAGAACAGGCACCAAACAAGAAAACAAGAAAAGACTAGAAGAACCCAGAACTGGAGCAGGACAGAAAGCAGAACCCAGAACATGTACACAATACAAGAGGGAAACATGAACAGGACATGGAAAGGGCAGGACAGGACTGTACATAGACATAACTAAGTACTATATATCTAATAAACATTGGAGATTTAGACATACATAAATGGCCAAGATGTATGCAGCCCACCACTGCGCCAAAGTACTCCAATTATGGTGGGTCCTAACTGCCTAACTAAATAAACAACAATAAAACACACACAGTACTTACCTGTAAAGAAAGGAGCAGAGGAAATGAGACCACGGCTTGCAGGAACAGACTGAAACAAAAATGGTTAATGGCAAAGGAATGGGTGTGGCAACAAAAAACAAATATTTAAAGGAATCCAGGAGACTGGGAATTCCAGGAATGGAATAAAGGAATTAACCCAGAAAACTCAGCATAAAGAAAACCAGACATAGAATAGAAAACCAGAAAAACCAAGAAAAACTAAACAAGAATTGTATAAAGAGTACTGGATACCAGAAGCCATGTCAAGACATCTGAACAGAACAGAACAGGACGTGACACTAGGAAATCTGAACTATTCAAGTTACTACGTACCTCTATGGATAATTCTTATGCAGTAGAGGACACGAGTGGTTCTAAAATGACCGATATCCACTCCATGTTGTCTTCGCTCATGGCCTCTATCGGACAGATCAATGACAGATTGGAGAGATTAGAATCTGTCACCGGTGGTGTACATACCGGGGTCGTAGGGGTTACGGCTACAACTGGGCCTGGCCCACCAGGGGGCCTGGCCACCCTGTGACCCGGTATGTATGCCACTGTGGCCAGCCTCTTCAGGAGCCGGCCACCGTATCACTGGGCGGGCGGGCAGGCAGGCTGGCACTTGAGGGAGCACTCTCCCCTCAGAGGAGAGTGCTCCCTCGCATGCCAGCCTGCCTGCCCGTCTGCCCGGTGACACCACTAGACCCCAGGGAATCACGTCAGCTCTCCAAAAGGTAAGGGGTGTGTTAGTGTTAGAGTGTGTGTGTTAGAGTGTGTGTGTTAGTGTGTGTGTGTTAGTGTGTGTGTGTTAGTGTTAGAGTTAGAGTGTGTGTATTAGTGTTAGTGTGTTAGTGTTAGAGTGTGTGCGTGTCAGTTAGTGTGTTACTGTGTGTGTTAGTTTGTGTGCGTCTGTGAGTGTGTGTTTTGTGAGTGTGTATGTGTCTGTCTGTCAGAGAGTGTGTATGTATGTCTGTCACTGAGTGTGTGTCTGTCAGTAAATGTATGTGTCTGTTAGCTAGTGTGTATGCGTCTGTTCGTGAGAGTGTGTGTGTCTTAAGCACTTACCTTTCTCCAGCGCCGGACTTCCTTGGCGCTGAGGATCTCTGCTCCCCGATCCGCCTCTCAGCTCCGAATGCGCATGCGTGGCAAGAGCCACGCGCGCATTCAAACCGCCCATAGTTAAGCATTACTCAATGCTTTCCTATGGACGTTCAGCGTCTTCTCACTGTGATTTTCAATGAGACAGCCACTAGAGGATGGATTAACCCTCAGTGAAACATAGCAGTTTCTTTGAAACTGCTATGTTTTCAGCTGCAGAGTTAAAACTAGAGGGACCTGGCACCCAGACCACTTCATTGAGCTGATGTGATCTAGGTGTCTGTAGTGGTCCTTTAAGTGTATGTGTATCTGCATGCACTGGGGTACATACTGCGGTCGCAGGGGTCGCAGCCCTGCGACCAGGTCCCGCCGCCATGTATTGTGGCCTCAGCCCGCGCAGAGTAAGCGCGCCGGGGGGCCCACGGATCAGTTTTCGCACCGGGGCCACATGGCCTGTGTGTACGCCACAGTCTGTCACTCTTGCAATGTCACCAACCTGGCCTTCCACTTCAGTTCAGTCGGAACCTACTGCGGCTCAACAGGGTAATTTATTGTCCACTTCGGAGTCACAGCAAGATTTCAATCCAGCCCATATGGTCCCAGATAACATTAAGAAAGATATCCTGGAAGGCAAAGACGTAAACCTGGTATCGCTCCTAATTGCCTCCCAGGATATTGTGGACAATAAAACTTATGCATATGGAGGGGCGGAGCCTGACGACCAACCTGTATAGACGCCATCTTACACAGCTCCCAGACTGCCGATCACAATCCTGAAAAATTCACCCTACACAGGGGCCATCCATCAAAACAAAGTGCACACTCAGCACCACAGCATCGGGGCAACCAGTTTGATGCCCTTTTTTCAAGTCGCCAAGCAACCCAGGCAGCGGCGCAAAACCGCGGCCTACCGCGCCACACCAATCCTCAGCCTCGAGGCACTCCTTGGTGGACAGAGAGCGGGTTGCGATTACCCAGTCTACCCCCTGCAGGACGCACCAACCATGGGCCGATGCACCCACAAACCCACGGCTGGAGATAATACCCAAGGTAGGGACATTGGGGAAATGCTGCTCCGACCAGCGCAGACCGTGCCAGTACATGCGGATCCCCCGCCAAACATGGCCCCCGTCCCGGAGACAGAGGGAGAGGAGATCCCCCACACGCAGAACCCCCAGGTGGGACCCACAAAACCCCCAGCCTCGCCAGAGGACTTAGCCCCCACTACTAAAGGGGACCTGAAAGCCCTCCTGGTAGACATCCAGAAGCTACTGGCTGCAGATGTAGCCCTGATTAAAAGGGACCGTGTCACAAAACACAGAAAGGGACACAGCAGGAGTCCATATCACTATGACCACCCTGAAAGACTCAGTCCAACAGCTGCACATGGAACAACATGTCCTAGCAACCAAAATAATGTCCCTTGAAGACAAACAACACCGAACACACGTAAAGATCCGCGGCATACCCAACACCATCACCACTGAAGACCTGCCGCACTACACGCGACGTCTCTTGACTAAAATCCTGCCACAATCAGTAGCTAAGAAAATCACACTGGACGGTATGTACCGTGTGTGACCAGGGCCGTCTTTAATAACGAATGGACCCTGGGCAAGTGTTTGCTTGGGCCCCCTGCGCCCTGCCGCTCTCACCCCTCACTCCCTGGTATGCAATCACGGCATCCATCCCAACGCAGTGGCGGTACTAAAGTAGAATGAATTTTATTGGGACCCCCAATTGCAAGGTTGGACTAAAGGTAGAACCCCATCTGTCGTGCAACTCCAACAATGCTTTGACAGCTGGGACTCTACCAATTTCCCATGCTTGCAGGGTTGTATTTAGCACTGAGCCATGTTAGTATGTTTGAATGTAAGCATGTGTTTGTATGGAGTATGTTTGTGTGAATGTGTTTGTATGTGGTACTGGAGTTTGAATGCAAGTGTGCATTTATGTGTAGTGTTTGTTTTTGAATGTAGGAGTGTGCTTGTATGTAGTGTTGACGTTTCAATGCAGGAGTGTGTTTTATATGTAGTGTTGAAGTTTGAATGGAGGGGTGTATTTGTATTTAAAGTTGCGGCTCAGATGCACAGGTACACACTCTGACGCACAAGCAGATACACAGATACATACACTGACTACATACAGATAAACAGGCACATACACTGACAGACACAGGTACATATATTGACACACACACAGACACATACACTGGTAGACGTACTGACAGACATACTGACACAGGCACATATACAGACATACTGACACACACACATATACCGACATACTGACACACACACACAGACACATACACTGATCAACATACTGACACACATACACTGACAGAAATACTGACACCCACACACTGACAGATATACTGACACCCACGTACACTGAGAAATACTGACACACACACACAGGCACATACACTGACACACACAGACTGATATACTGACACACATACAGACATACTGGCACACAGACAGATATACTGACACATGCACTACACATATACACACACATATATACTGACACACAGACAGACAGACATACTATACACACATATATACTGACACACAGACAGACATACTGACACACAGACAGACAGACATACTGACACACACACAGACATGCTGACACACACACACATACACTAACACACACATACACTAACACACACACACTAACACACACACACTAACACACAAACACACACACTAACACACATACACTAACACACACACACATACACTAACACACACACACAATCACATACACTAACACAAACACAAACACACATTTTTTTTTTTAAATGTAATCCCCCCAGCCTCCTTACCTTTTGGAGTGCTGGGGGGATTCCCTGGGGTCCAGTGGTGCTGCTTGGCCTATAGGGAGTCGTCGGTAGGAGAGACAGGGAGCACCCACTGCTTCCCTCTTCAGCTCCCCTCGCTGCCGCGATAGGGATGCCGGCCACCGGAAGATGACGCCATCTTCCGGCTCCGGCATCAGTGCGGTGCGCGAGGGAGCTGAAGAGGAAGCACTGAGTGCTCCCTCGCGCGCCCGCCTTCCTGCCCGACCGCCAGGGTCAGCGGGGCCCACGGGGCAGGTGCCTCGGGCCCCCCAAGAGAAACTGGGCCCGGGGCAGCTGCCCCGTTTGCCCCGCGTTAAAGACGGCCCTGCAGGTACCGTTCGGGAGTTTGGAGTGTTCCCTAGCTGGCGGTTCGCATGGTTTCATTGTCTACGCTACCAGACCACAGTATTGCGCATGGGGAACATTCACTGCGGTTTGTGCATTTAATTACTGGAGGTACCGTAACAAGTACCCATTAAGCACTTAACCCATTAAGGTACTACATACTCTATCTTTCTGCCTCATATATTCCCTCCAGGACAGTATATACATTTCGTGGGGCGCCTGTACGGACCCGGACGCCATCTGCACCAGAGCTAGGTTTATAGCTCTCTGTGAGTTTATCATACATATATACTCAGTGTAACGGACCGTTTTGCCCAAAAGAGGTTAAAAACCGTTTAGGCGATATTCCCCCTTTTCAGCTGCACAGACAGCTGCTGCAAGCACCAATCTCCCGAACTGCAAACCCACGAATTTACCAACTCCCGAACTGCAACCAAGGGAATACTCGAAACTCCCGAACTGCATACACACGAATAGCTGCTAACAGACGAACAGGAAAAGCCCCCAAGCGGCTTACACTCCTGGCAATCAGTCTCTAACAGCATACAGTAAATCCTCCCCCCAATAAGGAGATGACACTTCACTTTGAGGGTGAAGCAGGAACTCATTTACTGGGGCTAACTGCCCGGCTTTTATGCAGGTCTCCCACCTGGTGGACACTCCCCTAGGGGAACAAATGGGAGACTGGGACACAAAGGGTAAAAGGACCAATCACAGACTTACACATTGCAACCATCCCACAATGCATCACAATCCCTCCTCTCTGCCCTGGAGATAATTTGGGAAGTATTTCAATTATCTCCAAAGACAGAGGCAAAACTCCATTAACCACATGGCAGAAAACAAACAGTAAAAGACATAAAATTACCTACAGTTACATTCAGTACATAAAACATATATGTTCTACATATCCCCAGATAGCTCAGGTCTGAGCGCACATTATTAAGAGAATGGCGCTCAGACCACACGAATACAGTTTAATCGCCATGGAGCCAAAGTCTTTACACAGTCAGTTTCATGCGAATGGGCTCCATGGGATTCCTATCTGGGGTATAACACATACAAGCAAAACTACCGAACACCGGGCTGTTCGTGCACTTTCACCGGCGGCTTCAGCGGTGTTCGCGCAAAACTGTGTCCGATTTCAGTTCCATGAATTAAGCGTCGAACACCGCTGTGCATTCGCATGTTTAAAATGGCCGCGACCTCGTGTTCGTGATACGAATGGCGGCCACCCAGCATTAGTCAATTAAGCTGCGGTTAACCGCAGCTTCAGGGAGGTTAATTGCCGGCACACTCCATCTCCCAGGTGGTCTATTCATTTGTGCGGTTGTTCGGTAGATTGAATCTACCGAACACCCGGCAGAAAAGCACGAATAAGTCTTTTCT